AAAACAAAGTTGTCATTATAAATTAGAAACATATTATGCAAGGTTAATTTTAAATATTCAAGGTATTTGTCTAGTTAGTGTATTATTCTATAACTAACAGAAACTCACAAAACATTTACAGTCAAATTAGTATCTTTATTGCAACATTATTGTCAGGTTTTTATGTATGGGCCGGATTTTTTACAGTAGGTGTCTGTGACTTGTTGGCCATAAATTTCAACAATAAACAAACAACACATAGTCCACTTGTTTTAAAATAATATATCAAAATAAGTCAAACGTATATACAAATGTTCGTTACACTGTTGGGTATCACAGTTTTATCCAGAGCTTTAAATAATTGTCTCTTTTTCGTCAAAGTCCACACAGGCTGGTTCATTTACTTTAGAACACATTTGACAAGGCAATTCTTCTCCTCTACTCTATTATTACAATACAATCTGTGATAATTTCACTTTTAAAAAATCGCCATAATACACTCTTTATCCCTAAACTCCCAATCACGCAATCTAGATCTATCTATTCTTTTTCGAACTACATTATGGACGCCTATAACAATATATCATGATACAATAATACTCAATTAAAACAACTAGAAAAACTTAGAAGGTTTTAGTAACATGACGCAATAATATAAAATCACCAATTCATAACTGTTGAACTATACAATGTGTGATTCACAAACATTTACATGACCAAACTTGCGATAAACTATCGCTTCTAAAAATAATTAAAAATTTAACACTCGCGCTATATAAATTTTATAAATCATAACACTCACATTAAACTTAAATTGAAACATTCATGTATATCTAACAAGTTCTTTTTAAATACAGGATTTCTAGAAGAATACAAAATAATTCTAATCGCAGGCATCGAAATTTGTGAGTCCACTTGTCTTAGGCTTGACATTAGTTAAGTCTTTATTAAGTACGTCTATATTCGATAAAAGGATAAATTAATACTGTAATTTGTGTACGTTTTCTGCCTTAGTTTAGTTAGAGCTAATCTTTACCGTACTTAATGCTATCAGTTAACAAATTTATAATTTTATTTTACAACCTAACGTTAAAACTTTTTTAAACTTTGATAAGTTCTAACATGTTGTACAAAATACCTATTAAAGTATATTTACACCCACCTTTTCTTTACATCCTTTGAAATGAAGTGCGCGCGCATGCGCATTTAGATAAGAAGGTGCGCGTGCATTTTCAGAACAGACAAGAGTTACTGTTATTATATGAGATAGGTTTGGGAGACTTTCAATATTCACAAGTCTCTCATATATCAGGTTCCTGAAAATTTGATCATAATGGAATGGAATGATACATAGTGACAAATGCGTTGGAATTAACTAGAAAGATTTTTGAAATAAATCATTTACAGGCACTTTGTCACATCCTCCCTCTGTTTACACAAAAGGGTATTCATTTATCTAACAACTTGTGTAAGTTTTTTTTTTATTTTTCAGTAAATTGTATTTATTTTGGTTTTACGCAGATATTCTTAAAACTACCAATGACGATTACTGTAATTTGGTTTTATGTTCATAATTCTAACACTAACAACGACTGTTATTGTTCTTTTAGTTCTATGTTGACAGTTTTAACACAAACAACAACGATAACTGTTCTTTTGATTTTATGTTAATAGTTTTAACATTTAGAACGACTGTAACTGTTTTAGTGATTTTTATATCAGTATTGTTTAAAATATGAGAGCAACTGTGCTCTTAGTTTTATAAATATAACAAAGAACCTGTCAGTTAATATTACGAAGTTCTGTGTAAGAATTGGCTGGGATTGAAAGAGGTGAGAATGCGGCCGACTTTTGGTCAGTCCCTAAGGAGTTAGGAGATTAAAAAACTTAAAATCGTTGGAAAATTATTGGAGGGCGCGACCACCTTTCAGCCGGATTTGGAAACTACAAGAATCCCTATGATTATGAAGTGTCATAATCCAATTTACAAAAAACAGGTGCAAGGCCATAAAAGAAAAAGACTTGTTGGCATAATACTAGGGAAAGGCATAATAAAAGACAGGCATTTAACACATGAAAAAGAAGACACAGAGATGTGAGAGCGAATGAGTAAACTGAGAGAGGCAAAGGGAGAAAATAAAGTGTTGCGAGAAAGAAACAGACATAATTTTCTTATGCGTTACCAATGCAGTAATAAACAGAAATTTGTTATGTTTAAATCAAGTGCGAGGATAACATGGGCGTAACAAAGTCGGCTCATAACAAATTGGTGTCAGAAGCGTTCTACAACAGTTAAATGAATGTGTATTTATATTTAAACTTTATCAGTTTCTAATTATTATACTATTTCATGGACCCATGATGATGACCATCGGGAGAGAACTTTTAACCTCAATTCTATTGTAATGGTTACGGTAAATTAAAATTAATACCGCAAAAACTGACGAACGTGGTATTATGATTATATATTTATAACATATTTCGTTTGCTGATGTGTTTCTTCAATCTGACATAAACCTTGCTTTGGACCAGGTAATAGACTGCTATTAACTCACGGTTTACTTAGGGTTCAAAGCTCGGAACCAAGCAATATTTATCTTATTGTTTCAATACATACAGCTTATGCACTTCATTGATTTGTCACAAAACATAGTTAGAAAAAACAAGGTGAGATACTAAAACACCAAGGTTGTCATAAGAGATGATTACCAAAATGATATTTTATAATATAAAACAAAGTCATTGAGATACTTCAACTTTTAACTGAAGGATGTGTGGTTCTTGAGAGCTCTGTTGTTGTTGGTGGTGGTGTTGTTACTGTTTTTTTCGGCTATAGCAAGATTATCATACAGGTACTCATACTTTAGGGGCATATGTTAACTTATGTGTAATTAGTATGTAAAAAGATATGTATTTCGAAGACACATCTGCAACATGTCAACAAGTAACCAAAGAAAAACAAGTGGTTCTTGACTCTTTTTATCAAATGAAGTCCTCTAAATAAACAAACAAACCTCTGATAAGTTACGCTTTCTCAGCATGAGGGGCTGCTTTTAGCCTTCACCAAGTATATTATATATTAAACTTTTTCATTTTCACGTTTATAGTTAAACAATTATCCAAGTGGTAATCTCTGAGAAGTTTCGAGAGGAATTCCATGATGGTACAAAATGCCAAAGTCACACATGGTTAAAATCACATTTTTCAAGGCTACAACAAAGCGTATATAGTGTGTTCCATAAATTTTCCCATGGCAATGATCTGGAGGGGAAGACACTATCTTATATTTTAACTTGAAGGGCTTAAAATCCTTTCGTAATGCACACACACATTTTGCTGTCAAATGAAAATCCTCCATCTATGTAGTCCCCTGGTAGGAGAGTGGTAAATCTTCGGATTTACAACGCTAAAATCACGGGTTCTATTCCCCTCAGTGGACACAGCAGATAGCATGGCCAGGTGGTTAGGGCGCTTAACTCGCAATCTAAGGGTCGCGGGATCGAATCCCCGTCCCACCAAACATGCCCGCCCTTTCAGCCGTGGGGGTGTTATAACGTGACGGTCAATCCCACTATTCGTTGGTAAAAGAGTAGCCCAAGAGTTGGCGGTGGGTGGTGATGACTAGCTGCCTTCCCCCTGGTCTTTCACTGTTAAATTAGGGACGGCTAGCGTAGACAGCCCTCGTGTAGCTTTGCGCGAAATTCAAAAACAAACCATCTATGTAACTTACCTTATGAATGTGTTGTTTGTTTGTTTTTCGTTGTTTTTTGTTTTTTCAGAAATATTGGCATGTCATTATACATAGCTGAGAGGAAACTTGCTAATGAAGCATTAACTGATGAAAAACAACTAACAATTAAAATATAACAATAGAGGTAAGCATATCTGTTTCACTTGCTCCGCATAATTTTCATAAAGATACCTTCTCACGCTTACTTTTTATTTTATTATTATTATAATATAAAAGCACATCATAAAAACGTTGTAACCGAAATTAGATACAACTAGGAATTGTGGTTGAAATCTAAATAAAATCAGAAACTTAGAGTTAGAAAGAAAATAATGATAATATTGTTCTTATTATATTTATTTAATACTTAATACCTTATTCAGGCTATTTCACGAAAATACTTGTAGTACTCTCCAGACATTTCTACTTTCTAAAGAAAGATATTCCTTACCATAAAGACATGTTGTATAATTTCGAAGCTGATATCAGCAAGATTTAAGAGTGATTCAAATGATACCAAAGTTTATTTAATTAACAATCTGTTTTATGAGAAATATTTCCCTTTTAAGGGATCGTAATGCTACATAACTTTTGACCTCTTGCTTAACTTATATACCCTGAAATATTCTACTATTGTTCTATACTTAAAACTTTGATGGGCATCAATTATACTAAATTTTACACTCTTGCTATTTAAAGATAAGTTGTGGCCTGAAGGTGATGTTGACAGTTTTATACCAAGGCTAAACTTACAGATGATATAAGTTTCACAAGAAAAAGAAAACAGCTGTGTGTTTGTGTTTGTGGATACAAGTTAACTTTGAAATTCTGAAACAGTTTATAGGCAGACTAGTGCTGCCATCTTTTGATGTACAAAGAAATGAAATTACAGTAAAATTGTTGGATAACATATATATATATAATATTATGTTTTTTAAAAATGCATTATCAACGAAGAACTGGCAATGTTAAATGTTTATAGTGCATTATTAATGATTTTTTCTTAGTTCAATACAAATTTAATCTTTATAATGAAAATAATAAGAACTAATAGTAACTGATGTGCAGCTGGTAAACGAAAAATCCAAGGTATGCAAAAATATAGTGAACGATTTTAGTTGAAAATAAACAGCTAACTAAAAACTAGCTATACCTGTGGTGGTACTATAAGTTCTATTATTTACATGAGGTTTGTTTTAAATATGTAAAGCAATAGTGTATTAGCTTTTAATGCATCATTTTGAAACACAAACACTTACTTTCATTATTTAAAAATAGTATTTAATGCAAATGGTAAAACTTCGCATGTATAACACAATAGCTATGCCAATGTTGACGTCTAAGAAAAAGAAAGCATAACATAATAATTAAATCAGTTTTGGAAAGACGGTATAATATCATAATTATGTCAATTCTAAAGAAAAATAGAGTGTAACACAAACAGTTACTTAATTTTAACATCTAAAGGAAAGAGAGCGTAACACAAAAATTATGTCAACTGTAGCATATAAAGGAAAGAAAACATAACACAACAGTTACTAAATTTTAACATCTAAAGGAAAGAGAGCGTAACACAAAAATTATGTCAACTGTAGCATATAAAGGAAAGAAAAACATAACACAACAGTTACTAAATTTTAACATCTAAAGGAAAGAGAGCGTAACACAAAAATTATGTCAACTGTAGCATATAAAGGAAAGAAAACATAACACAACAGTTACTAAATTTTAACATCTAAAGGAAAGAGAGCGTAACACACAAATTATGTCAACTGTAGCATATAAAGGAAAGAAAACATAACACAACAGTTATGTCAATTGTAGTATATCAAGGAAAGAGAGAATAATACAACAGTTATGTCAAATATAGTATCCAAAAGAAAGAACACATAACACAATAGTTATGTCGGTTGGCGGTGGGTGGTGTTAACTAGCTGCCTTTCCTTTAGTCTATCACTTCAAAATTAGGAATAGCTAGCACAGATAGTCCTCAAGTAGCTTAGCGTGAAATTCAATAAAGAAACAAATTTCATGAACAGTGAAAACTAAATTTTATACAAGCGTGTGTTAATTAATACATATTTATAGAGGGACGCAATCCTTGTGGGAGTTTTAGTTTGAAGAAATGGTTTTTAATAAATGTTCTTTTTAAGACAATTAGTAATTTTCCTATGATGAACTATACGTACCAATGATATACGAGACAAGTTTCGTGAAAGACACTGATGGGATTGTTTTACTTTTAATCCAAATGTAACAACAACCTGTGTCTTTTCCAATGAGCTTATGTCAAAATAAATGAACCACAAAAAATATGCGTAAAATGGTAATATGGGAGAAAGAGTGTTTTATTTATTGAAATAAAAAGAATAATCAAAACTTTTCCTTCCATATTTGAAATGAGTCAATATATAAACATCAGTAACTTTCCAAACTATTTAGTAGTGCATGAACTAACTAAAAATAATGAACTAAAAAACAGATTGTCTCCAATCAAAGAAACAAAGAGGTGAAATATAAACGTTCTTGATTCATTCTTTTACACAATATATATTACAATTTTTTTTATCTTTCGAAAGGGGACATTTTTGGTCCAAAAATACTTAAAATACATAAAACTGACATTAAATAATGTTCAACATATGATACTTATTTACTTATCTTTGATCAAATTTAGTAGATAAATGAACATTCCATTAAACTCCTAATCTCTAGCATCTTATTTCAATTATAAAAAACTACAGAGGAGCGGAGGAAAACTCGTTTTTTTTTCATCTAAGACCTTAAGCTTGTTTATTACAAATTTTAATTGTCAAGGAAGTAGTTGTCATTGTGAAATAATGTAAACATATCTTTGTTTATGCTGATTAGGATTTGTGTAAGAAAAACTATCAAACATTTCATTCTGAGTTTTAAAAATGTCATGTATATTATTTTCAGGCGCTCTGATATTCTACAGTTAAGAACAATTCTCCAGCACCATTTTCCGAGAGAAGGTTCAAGAACACTAAAGGAGAAATTATCCTTAAGAATGTATGTGACCAGTCACCACATTTCAAAGCTATATACTTGTGGTGTATAATTATACCATGTGTTTTAGTCTTCTTGTGGTATAATCATTTATATTCTGAATTTATTCTATGCCCTGAATATGTGCAGGTTTCACATAACACGTGATTAAGAAAACAGTTTAAGTTGATCTTGTTTCTAATTGCTTTTGTTTCTTTGTTGTTCTCGAATTGGGTAATACCTGTTACCACCCGTTGAAAACATACCTTAATGCACTATGTGTCTTTCAGCTGTTACAGAGGCAATAACTAAAGATTACGAACACGTTTATGTGTAATTAGAATGACCAGTCACGTAGTAATACATGTCTCTCTCTAGGTAAATATGAAATTTCTTCCTATTAAAGAAACCTTGAATTTGACAGTCTGGTAGATGATCTCAAGCTGACAACACCTAGTAGAAACGATGGTCTGACATAAGTAAATCGCAGTTACACATAATTTTAGTTTCACGTATTAATAAAAACTGTTCATTGTATTTGACACTTTGTCTGGTCTCATTATTATAGTTAACATCGACTCACTTAAATAAAAGTTTTAGTATTACTCAATAATCGATATCTTGAGCAAATCTCCTATTAATGAGTGGTGAAGCTCAAACTTATATTCAATTCACATGAATATACTACATATTCCATACACTGAGTGGTCACAAGTAAATAGACGCCTAATGTTTCGTCATTTAACTAATTTATGCTAACTAATTTGTGTTCACAGAGCACCATATAAATGAAAATGGCCCGCACACTAATTATATTGTGCTACAACATGCCTAGAACTCAAGGTGCTCTCGAATTGTCAGATTTTGTTAGAGGAAGGATAGTTGGTCAAGCAGATGGTGGAATAAGTCAGCGGCAAATTTCACAGAATTTGGGAATCCCGCTTTCGACAGTCAACAAAATCATCGTGCAGTTCAGAAACATTGCAAGAAACAACTGAGCAACGTTCAGGACGTCCTGGTCCATCGGAGAGG